GCAAACACCAGATTTACTGTCACATGTATGTAACAATAAAAAGGCAAGGCGTTTTCTGTACCTCAGCATTTATTTGCCACAGAAACTGTATGCCCCACAGAAAATAAGGTGAAAAAAGAGTCTGTGATCTCCTGGTTTTCAGAAATTAATTAAAACAATATCCACTGTCCTTTACAAAACAAGGAAAACTGCTCAAGGCTGAGGTCTGTGAAGGAGTAGAGGTAAAAATAAAAATGATCTTAATCACAGACACACTTGACACAAAATGCCATGCTGATGGAGCAATAGCATCAATTATACTCCACAACATCCTGGTGCATATATGTTAACCAATGGTATATCCTCTTTCTGTATTGACCCCTTCAACACTCTGTAATGCTCTTCTGTGTCCTTTGCTATAGACTGTATTTTAGAGTTTATTTTGTCTAATGTGAGTATTTCCACCCCTCACTGTCTCATCATTTTCATTTTCATGAAATGTCTTTTTCATCCCTTTGCTGACAGTCTCTGTATCTAAAGACACATAGCTCTGCAGTGAGTCTCTTGTAAGCAGCATATAGATGAACTTGTGTTTTATTATTATTATTATTCAATCAATCAGGCAATCCATCTTTTGACCAGATAGTTCATTCCATTAACTTTTAAGGTGATTATTGATAGGATTGTACTAATTGCCACTCTTGTTACTTGTTTTCTGTTTTCTTTCCTCTACTTTTATGTTGCTCTTTTATTCTCCTTTGCCTGGCCTCTTGATGAAGGTAAAAGAGGAGAAAGGAAAATCTGGCTTAAAACTCAACATTCAAAAACAGTTTATGGCATCCAGTCCCATCAGTTCATGGCAAATAGATGGGGAGAAATGAAAATAGTGACAAAAATCACTTGGATTTTTCTTGGGCTCCAAAATCACTGTGGAGAATGACTGTAGCCATAAAATCAAAAGACACTTGCTCCTTGGAAGAAAAACTAACAAAACTAGACATTGGATTAAAAAGCAGAGACATCACTTTGTCAGAAAAGGTCCATCCATATAGTCAAAGCTATGGTTTTTCCAGTAGTCAAGTACAGATGTGAGAGTTGGACCCAAAGAACCCTGAGCCCTGAAGAATTGATGCTTTCCAACTGTGGTGATGGGGAAGGCTCTTGAGAGTCCTTTGGACTTCAAGGAGTTCAAAGCAGTCAATCCTAAAGGAAATCAACCCTGAATATTCTTTTGAAGGACTAATGCTGAAGCTGAAGCTCCAATACTTTGGCCACTTGATATGAAGAGCCAACTCATTGGAAAAGACCCTGATGCTGGGAAAGATTGAAGGCGGGAGGAGAAGGGGCTGACAGAGGATGAGGCGGCTGGGTGACATCACTTGAGTTTGAGCAAACTCCAGGAGATGGTGAAGGTCAAGGAAGCCTGGCATGCTTCAGTCCATGGTGTCACAGAGTCAGACGTGACTGAGCAACTGAACAACAGCAACTTGTGGTTTAATGATTTTCTTTAGTTGTTTGCTTGTGCTCATTTCTCTCTCATTTTTGTGAATTGATTGTAGACTTTTGACTGGTGATTACTGTGGGGTCCATATATGTTAAATTCAAGCTGTATGTCCTCATTTTAATTTGATAACCATTTAGGTTCAAACACATTCTAAAGGATCTGCGTTTTTTACTCTCCTCTCGCACATTTTGTGTTCTTGATGTCATGTTCTTCCTTTCCTATAAACTCTTACTTCTTGGTGGTATCATTTTTTCCACTTAGAGAAGATCCTTTAACATTTCTTTTCTGATTATTTTATTATTGATGAATTCTTTTAGTTTTTGCTTGTCTGAGAAGATTTTTAGGTCTCCTTCAATTCTGAATGATAATCTTGTAGGTTATCTTGCGTTTAATTTTTTCCTTTTGGTACTTCAGAAAGATCATGGCATAGTCTTCTGCCTACATAGTTTCTGCAGGAAAATCAGCCAATAATCTGATGTGGTTTTCCTTGTCTGTGACATGTTGTTTTTTTCTTGCTGCCTTGAGAATTCTTTTATCTGTAACTTTTGTCATTTTGACTGTGATATATCTTGGTGTGGGCAGCTTTGGTTTTATGTTATTTGAGACTCTGTGCTTCAGCACCTGGATACCTCCTCCCTTCTTTGGGTTCTGGTTATTTGGGGTCATAATTTCATCCAATGTCTTTTCTGCCCTTCTCTCTCTCCTCCTTCTGGGACTCCTAGAATGTGGATGTTAGTATACCTGATGTTGTCCCTGTGGTCCCTTAAACGGTTCTCTTTTTTTAAATTGGAAGATAATTGCTTTACAAGGGTGTGTTAGTTTCTGCTGTACAACAAAATGAATCAGCCACTTGTATATGTAGGTCCCCTCCCTTTGGAGCCTCCCTCCCATTAAACCATTCTCTTCTTTAAAATTTGCTTTTCTTTTTGCTGTTTTTATTGCATGATTTTAATAATGGTATCTTTCAGATCACTTCTGAATTCCGTATCCCCTAGCCTGCTATTATTTCCTCCTAGTGTGTTTTTCTCTCTGAGTTATCATAATCTTCAGTTCAGACTGGTTATTGTTTTTAATATTTTCTAGTTACTTCTTAACACACTTCATTGTATTCATCTATTCTTTTCCCTTGTGAAGTTAGAATTCTTATTACTAATTCTTTGAAATATGGTAAATTATTTTGGTGAGTTACCTGTCTTATTAAGTATTTTTGCAGGGCTTTTTTTTTTCTTATTCTTTAACTTGAACAAATTCCTCTGTCTCCTCAATTTGCTTAACTTCCTCCAACTGTATGAAGTTAGGTGAAAAAGTTACCTATACCAGTCTTGCAGGGGTGTCCTTGTGTGGACATGTCCCTGTGCAGTCTGCAGTCTGTGTGCCTGGAGGCTTTGGGACAGAGTTGGAGCAGAAGTGGGCCAAGGTCATGCCTTTCCCAGGGTGTACTGGCAGCTGGCAATTTGGTGGGAGGTTGAGAGGGAGGCTAGATCCAGGGCCAAGTGTGAGCAGAGGCTTTTCTTGTGCTCTGTGGCTGTCCACATCCTACTGGAACAGGCGTGTCCCAAGGCGCTGAAGCAGAAGCCCTGACGATGGCGTTAACTTGGTTCCACTTTCTAAGTGTACACCCCCCTCCACCACTCTGGCACCTTTGCCCCAGAGGGTGGCAGAGATGGAGCAAGGTGTGCTGAAGCAGCCCCTGGTGTGGGCGGCCGTGCTTGTGGTGCAGACCTGGCACGACCATCAGAGCCCCAGATCCTGCTCCTTGGGCCCCTCTCTGATGGCCGCCCTGCCGCATCCAGATATCCTGCTGGTGTCAGCCGGCTCTGTAGCTCCCACTGCCCACTCTGCCCAGCATGGGTGGCCCCTCGCCCCAGGGGGGTGAACTGGATCCAGAGGTGCTGAGGGGGCATCTGTGGGCCAGGGGGCACACAGGCTGCCCAGTAAACTGGCCGAGTCCTGGGAAGAGTCCTGCCGCCCCCTCAGCCTGTTCCAGGAGCAGGAGTGGGTGTGTGTCTCAGGAGAGGAGTCAGGCTCCTGGGCCTCCTGCGGGTCCCCCTGGGTTCACAGCAGCTGCGGGGCTGTGACCTCCTGAGGTCGTCCCAGGGCTGCAGTGCCCAGTGCGTGGTGTTCATGGGTTTCCCCAGGGAGAACCTCCAAGCCCCTGTTCCTCAGCTCCTCGGGGAGCTGAGCTCAGCGTCCTCTTGCCCAGCAGGAGCTCCTCCCCAGGACAGTGTGTGACACTCACTGTTCACTAAGTGTGGCTCCTGTGATTGTTCAGGAAGAGTCAGTGCTGATTTATTTTCTTCCTTTCCTGGATCATGGTTTCCTTTCTTTATTTCTTTTTCCCTTTCTGTTTTTCTTCCTCCCTTCTTTCTTCCTTTCCTTCCTTTCTTCTATGCCGAGTGTGAATGGTCTTTTGTGTCTGTTTGTGTTCATATTGGCTACTTGAAATACGAGGCAAATACTTGCTCTTGGCAGATTGATTCCTTGTCCTGACTGAACTTAGCTAGTTGGTTTCCCATGCTCCTAGTCCTGGGATCAGCCCAACAGGAAAATTAAGAGCAACTCAGTTCATTCCTGAGTCAACATCTTGCCCAGCCTATGGGTAGCTTTCTGATTCTCCTGAATTTGTGACTGTTTGTGAATGCCTTACTATCCCCAAAACCACACCCCAGTTCTACTCAGCATTTTACTTATACATGGTTTAGTCTATGTCTTCACCCTTACTCCTTTGTCCCTGGCCCCATATGTAAATATACCTATAATACATAGCCTTTCCTGCAGGGGACTTCCTTGTAACTCAGACAGTAGAGAATCTGCCTGCACCACAGGAGACCCTGGTTTGATCCCTGGGTCAGGAAGATCCTCTGGAGAAGAGAATGGCAACCCACTCTGGTATTCTTTCTTGGAGAATCCTATGGACAGAGGAGCCTGGCCAACTATAGTCCATGGGCTGGCAAAGAGTCAGAGATGACTTAGCAACTAGGCACAGCACACGTCAGTAAGGACTTTGCAAAAATGCCTGCCTTTAGTATCCTTTTCAGGGTTTCACTCTTCTCAGGTCTGTAAAGAAAAATAAGTTTCTGTTAGGAAATATAAAAAGGAAAATTTCTTTTCATTTGATGTTTTGATTCTTCATTAAGGGATTACATTTTGAAACATGCTTATTAATATGAAACACTTTGAAAATGTGTGATTTGTATATGTGTGGGTGTTAACACTGTAAGGTAATTGTTTCAGTTGATGTTGAATCAAGATTGGGCTTCATAATCAGAAAAATGAAATGATTATTATGTGGAAGTTTCCATATAACATATGGTCAATAATTGTTAGCCCATCTCATCATTATATGATACATAAGGTTATACTGATAAAAAAAAAAACCAAACAAGTTAACTGACTTCAATCTTCTATCTCCAAAGCTATTGGTTTAATCATGCTCCTCCTCCTACAATGTATCTGCTAACACTGGACAGTGCAGCTGGTGTGTTAACTTCCTGTTATTTATAACCTCTGAAGGCCGAAGAAAAAAATCAGAGTCTGCTTACTCAGAGGAGCAACAGGCAATGGATCCCAAAAGCCAGAAGGTGAAGCTTAATGATGGCCATTTCATTCCTGTCCTGGGATTTGGAACCTATGCACCTGAGGAGGTAAGAGTAGTGGTTTGGGGTTGAGATATAATATAAATAGTAGTGGATGTGACATGAGTGGAAAGGGACTTGGGTTGTCAAGCGCTGAGTTCCTGTGTGACCCTGGGAGGATCACATGGTTCCACTAACCAGGAGAGAAGATCCAGGTTCCACTCTGCATCAGGGTCTGAGGCTGTGCTCACCTGAAGATTACTCTGGGTTCCCCTCCAGTTTCTGTCTCTTTCCCAGCTTGGCAGAAGAGGTGAGACTCGGCTGCCAAGAACACTGACTGTCAGCTACTTTGCTTTGAGAGAGATTGCAATGGCCAGGTTTCTCTATATATTTCATTAATTCCAGAACTCTTTCCTCTTTCCAAAAAGACATGACCCAGAGAAGTATTGAGGTAAAATTTCCTGAAGAGGAGGTGGCAGAAAACTAATGGGAAGAACTGCTTTTCTACTGCGGGGTGCATGCTCCATTTCAGGATATTTAGCCTTGTACTTCTGTTCCTGCTTAGAAACGTCTCCTAATGGAAGCTTTAGTATCATTTGAGGGGATAAGCTACTATCTTACATCCAATTTTGAGTTATTGGGATTTTCAGTGTCTTTTTATTATAGTCTGCAATACTCAGGCATAAGAGGTGCTAGTGAACACATCTCTAGACCTGACACCAGAAAGTTTGCTGTCCATCTTGTCTTTAGAGTATGTAGTTGTGACAAGGGACTGGTCCTGAAACTTTGAGTCTCACTTTTCTAATTTCTAAAACAGAAGACAATATTCAGAGACATTTTTCAGACAGAATACAGGGCTTGTTTACTTGTAGTGCAAAGTGTGATGAGGAGAGGGAAGGGCCCAGGTCATTACTGAAGCTCATTTGTTCATTCCTTAGTACATCCCACAAGGCAAATGATCTTAAGGAAAACCAGGACTGAGACCCAACAGAGGAAAGTTAGACCAAACATCTACCTCCTTGAAAATAAAAGATTCTGAATTATAGAAACATAAATACAATATTAGTCAGCCTTAAAAGGAAAGTTAATCTCACCATTTGCAACCACACAGATGAACCTGGAGAACATTAAATGAAATAAGCCAGGCATAGAGAACAAATATTTCATGATCTTTTTATAGGTGGAATCTAAAATTTGACTCATAGAAGCATAGACATAGTGCTCAGAAACTGAGGGCAAGGCTCTCAAGAATGGAAAGATGTTTGTCAAAGGTACAGACCTTCACTGATAAGATACATAAGGCTGGAGACCGGATATACAGCGTGGTGACTCTAGTTAATAATAATAGATTCTGTTCAAGATTTGCTAAAAGCGTAAATCTTAAATGTTCTCACCACACACAAAAGTAACGTATGCGGGGTTATGGATCTTCTGGTAGCTTAATTGTGGTAATCATTTGCAATAGGCAATTATATGAGAGCATCACTTTTTACAGCTTGAATATATAGTTTTAGATGTATTCTGTGTGGCTGCACTCATAGACAGAGGTCTCAAAAGCTTTCACCTGGTTTCTTGACGCTTTTGAAGTGAATTGAAGTGAAAGTCTCTCAGTTGTGTTCGACTCTTTGTGACCCTATGCACTGTACAGTCCATGGAATTCTCTAGGCCAGAATACTGGAGTGGGTAGCATTCCCCTTCTCCAGGAGATCTTACCAACCCAGGGATCAAACCCAGGTCTCCTGCATTGCAGGCAGATCTTTACCAGCTGAACCACAAGGGAAGCCCTTTGATGCTTTTACCATGCCCCCATACTTTAGTTGATTTTGCCCCAGACATCTCACAGTGTAAGTTGTATACATGACTACAACTTTATTTTGAGTCCTTTGGATTTTATCAGCAAATGACTGAAACTGGAGGTGGTCTTGGGTCCTCTGATGCCTGAGATCAACCACTGGTCACCTGGGTTCGAAGGGTTCCTGGGTGTCCATTTAAACACTGACCAGGAACATTCACAGAAACTGTCATGGGTTCATCACCACACACTTGCAGAATGAACCAAATGCATGAAGAGAAGTTGGTTCTTGGGATGATCAGTCTCATGCCTTAGCAATCTCTTAATCATGTGGATATTCAACTTCTACCTTTGTTACTCATGTAGGTTCCTAAGAGTGAAGCTCTGGAGGCCACCAAATTTGCTATAGAGATTGGGTTCCGCCATATAGACAGTGCTCACTTGTATCAAAATGAAGAACAGGTTGGCCAGGCCATTCGAAGCAAGATTGCAGATGGCACTGTGAAGAGAGAAGACATATTCTACACTTCAAAGGTTCTGTGTGTCGTGTGTGTGTGCACATATGTGCAGTGATTGTGTGAAGGTGACGGGTAATAGGATCAGTAGTTAGGTGAATGTTGTTTTTTTCCACATATTTACATCTTAAATCTAGTATCCTCTTCTCTTCCCCCTCCTAAAAGAGAGAGTGAATATAACTATTTCATCATTGCTGTGTTCAAATTTTAATTTTAATTTAAAAATCACTTTACTTCTCTGAACCTACCAGAGCGGTGTGATTTAGTATGAGCTAATGAATCAAACAGAAAGAAGTATGATTAGATTATAGTTTCCTTATCATCTGGGAGACTTTCTCAATTTCTTCACATTTTGAATCTCAGACCTCAGCTCCATCATTAAGAGAGCATTAGGGCTTCACTTTGTATATTACACAAGATTTAGCCAAAGTGTGTAGAATTATGTTCTGCACATGTTAATATGTTCAAAGCACTTTCCCCTAGGTTATGTAATACTAATTAATTCTGAGAAGATTGACTATTTGATCAAATTAGACTGTTTGTCTTCTGAATATCTTTCAAACATAATTCAGATGATGGGCTTGGTAATTATTTGATAAGGTTATTTATATCTTGATTCATTTCATTCTTTTGTGAATAGTGGAGTGATGATAAATTCAAATAATGAAGTTTACATGGGTAGGTTAGACTTAAAATTGAACTCTAGAAGAAAGGGGGCAATTTTTTAGTGGTCATCCATTTCTAACCAATAAAAAATGTCTAATTATTAAGTGAAATGAGACAAATAAAATTAGCTACTGCACTCATTTCATGCAGCTTCCTTTGTTTAACCTCTGCAGCTTTGGTGCACTTCCCTTCGACCAGAATTTGTCCGACCAGCCTTGGAAAAGTCACTGAAAAATCTTCAACTGGACTATGTTGATCTCTATATTATTCATTCTCCAGTGTCCCTGAAGGTTAGCAATCTGCTTTTGTATTCAATCATATTTTTTTTTCTTGCCTCAGAGTGCTTATTAACTTGGATGGATGGTTGACTTAAGATTTTCTTAGTAGGTTGAAGAGATTATTGCACTAGAGTAGAATCCCCCAAATAATCATTTCTGATCATCTTTTTACTGAGCTTCCTTGAATATTTAATTCTGTTACATGCCTCCCAGAGAAAGGCATTCAATAATAATCTCATATGCTTTGCTCAAAAACTTGAGAAAATATAAATGGACATTTTTTAGCACACATCCCTGATTATGACTTCTGAATCTCTTGGGGATTTCATGAAGACAGTTTGGTACAGAGTGGTGAGCAATGACACTGCCTCACACTTGCACAGTCTGAGTTGTTCCCCCTTTCACTCTTTCAAGGGGAGCAGATTTGGTGGTGCTCCCTCTGGGTGGGTCTAAACTTCCCAGCCTTTAGAGAGACTTGAGAGACATTGCCTACTGTTGCCTGACTTCACGATGAGGATTATAGACTGTACTTAGCCATTAAGAACTGCAACAGGAATTTCCTGGCAGTCCAGTGGTTAGGATTCCATGCTTTCACTGCTGAGGCAAGTCAAGTTGAGGGAAGGAGTTCTGGGAACTAAGATCTGGCAGGCTGTATCCAAAAACAAAACAACAGCAACAACAAAATAAATGTATTACGTAGAACTCTTGATTTTAAGTTATAGAAATCTACTCAAGCCATCCTATGCAGAAGAGTCTATTTGACTATGTAGATGGCACATCCCAGCCATGGATAGATTTAAGGATTTGCAATACTCTTCAGTAATGTAACCCTTTAAAAAAAAATCTGTTATCCTGTCATTACTCTTGCTTTGCTTTATTTTCACTGAACACTTTCCATTAGTGGCAAATATAGCCTTGGGGCAACTCAAGGTTCATACTCATGAAATTTGAGAACATGTCTGGATCTTCTACATTCTGTATCCACCTAAACAGAGCCTTGCTGTTTCATGTGCCTGTTCTAGTGCATCAGATGCTCAGAGGGAAAAGGAAGTCTGATTATCTAGCCCAGGTCAAGTTTGCAATCTTTAATCTGGAAATAAAGCATTGTAATTTACTTCCATTCCCAGCATGAGAGGCATTTTGCAAGAGCAAAGTATGAGGAGCAGAAAAAAATTCACATAAGTCACTGAGAGTCCCCGTTACAATGTATGAAAATTATATTCATTAAAACATATATTAGGTGTAAGAGATTAGTGGGAGCCTGCCTCCTGAAGACATTTCTCATAACTCCATTTGCAAATCACTTTTCTAATATTGGTATCTAGAATATTGCTTTACTTATCTCATAGAGGTTTAGTGCCTGGTCTAGACACGCCCTGCAGCCTAGCTAAATGTGGAGACATAATTTGGTAACAGCTCTGCAATGATTGCTTCTATTCCAGCCAGGGAATGAATTTGTTCCAAAAGATGAAAGTGGAAAACTGATATTTGACTCGGTGGATTTCTGTCACACGTGGGAGGTGAGTCTGGGGAGAAGAAAGCCCAGATGTGGAGCTAAGTGGGGGGAAATTCTTTCATTTCTTCCACCTGTAAGAATGGGCTGTGGACCATCAGACTTAGCAGTTCAGGCACTTAAGGGCTGGGATCCTGGGGTTGTGGGGAGGAACCATTGCTGAAATGTTCACAGAGAAGAACAGTGGAGGAGAATATGGGACAGTGAAGACAGGCATCTCTTTCCTTCCTTGTGATATGTCTTCTCTGGGGTTTTTCTAACGAGGAGATGGTAATTCTTCTTGTGTCATGACCCTCTTCTCCTTTTTTCTTTCTTAAAATCAATGTTAATTCTTGACATGAGACACTTTTTACAGATTTTTCCCAACATTTATTCTTGATTTATTCACTCCAAGTGACTGTTCACCACCCCTCCCTCCCAGGCCCTGGAGAAGTGTAAGGATGCAGGGCTGACCAAGTCCATCGGGGTGTCCAACTTCAACCACAAGCAGCTGGAGAAGATCCTGAACAAGCCGGGGCTCAAGTACAAGCCCGTCTGCAACCAGGTGAGCAGCTCAGCTCCTCTCCCTCTTGCTCTTCAGAACCTCCTTCTTGCACTGGAGCGTGATGTCTGTCTGTCCTCCCCTCCTGTTCATCCGACCTTTGTGGACAGAAGATTCTACACAGCTGAGCCTCTGTCTGGATGGTGTGAATATAATCCATAACAGTACCTTTGATAAAATCTGGGTGGAACTTATGTGGAGGACCTCCCGCTAAGTTGTGGTAGGAATTGAGGGAAGGTAATGGAGGTGAGGGGAAGGGGGTTAGACTAGTCCTCCAGAACTTAGAGGAAGGAGGTCTTTCCCTGAGTTGAAAGGCTGATCACTAATCAGATGGGAAAGTGCCTCAGAGGGAACTGTGTATAGGATGGAAGACCATGAAAACACGGAATGAGAAGTAAATAACGAAGGGAAAAGTCAGCGGAGATAGGTGTTAAGTGTTTGTGTGGGGTCTATGTCCATAGGATGCCTGAAAACTTAGTCTTGGTGTGTCTACATTCATTGGTCTTCATCATGGAGCATAGTACAGAAAAGTTTCCTGGAGATGATGAAGGTCTGTCAAGTCAGATGGATGAAGTTAAAGGCTTAATCTGATACTATCCATAGATATTCAGTCAGGAACATTTACTTAGCTTAGAGTACATCTTATCATTTACTCAGTCTTGGACTGGTTCTCCCATCAATGTCCATCATAAAGTAAACTGGTTAAGGACACCTTTTCTATGTCTGTTTCTGCACTCTTCCTTTTTTGGCTCTATTTTTACTTTATTGTAGTGACAAAACATGAGATCTAACCTCATAAAAAATGTTTAAGTATTCAGTACAATACAGTGTTGTTTACTATACAGACAGTGGTGTACATCAGATCTAGAATTTATTCATCTTGTATAATTGAGACTTCACACGCATGATTAACAAATCTGGATTCCTCCTTCCTCCCAACCCCTGGTGACCATCTCTCTAATGTTTAATTCTAAGTTTGACCTATCTACATATATAACTGAGATGTGATATATATGTCATGTAATCTTTATCCTGGTGAAATGGTCTTACTTCAAATGTATCATAATGTCTTTAATGTACAACTTGAAGTCAAGGATAAAGAATCTCCTATAGCAGAATTCTTTGCAAGCTGAGTGTAGCTTATAAAATTCAAGAAATATACACATATCAATTATATATATATTTCAATTTTAGAAATTAAAATATTAATGTGATTCTAACATCAATTTTGTCCATATTTTTTATTATGATAAATGTAAGATATTAGAAGAGTTAAGATTACAACAGGGAATATAAATATATTTAATTTTATGTATTTATTATGTATTGTATATTTAATAAATAAAGATCTATAACACTTTTTTGACTATATCTTATGTGGTTCCCATGTCACACTGAGCCATGTTTCTCAAGGTCTTTTCACCTAGAATGACCACCGAAGCATTGTTACCAAAATATCTAGACAAGCTTTTGACAGATACACTGTATTTCTAGTTGTTTTGTGACATTAATTAGTATGCATGTGCATGTGCTCAGTCATGTCTGGCTCTTTGCGACCCTGTGGACTAGCCTGCCAGGCTCCTCTGTCCATGGGATTCTCCAGACAAGAATACTGGAGTGGGTTGCCATGCCTTCCTCCAGGGGATCTTCCTGACCCAGGGATCAAACTTATCTCTCATGTTGGCAGGTGGGTTCTTTACAACTAACACCACCTGGGAAGCCTCCACACTTATTCCTACAAGACAGGGTAAAACTTAACTCCTTGTCACTAATTGTCAGTTTCTGAGAAAGGACTTATTGTAATAATCATCAGCCCTGGAGGAAAATATTTTTGCTCTTTCCACCTCTCTCATCACTAAGGCTTCAGGGATTTTTATTTACTCTGTGTACTATACTTGTTTTCACTCATGATTCCTTCTGATGCTCAAGTCTACCCAAATGTCACCAGTTCTTTTGTCTTTAAGTCATTTGTCCATAAGTCTTTGTGCAATTTCTTGCTGTCTGGCACAGTTTGATGTCCACGATTCTGAGAGCTCTTCTCCTGTCCCAGATCTGGAATTAGGCATGTGTCCTGGTGGTGTCCAGCAACTGAGATCTGGTTCCTAGAGCTGCTTTTTTCTCAAGAATGTCATTATTTTTCTTTTTATCTTTTCAGGAAACAGCAATAAAATTTCTTTTTTAAAAAATATCATGACTTCAGGTTGATGTTTTAAGTTGTAATTTGATGTGACACAGTTTTTTCTTTAGAGTTTTTTAAACTTTTAATCTTTGTAATATTAATGCATTCTTTTCATATAAACTAACACTCATCTATCTTCCATTCTACAGGTGGAATGTCACCCTTACCTCAACCAGAGCAAACTGTTAGAGTTCTGCAAGTCACATGATATTGTCCTAGTTGCTTATGCTGCTCTGGGATCCCAACTATTATCAGAATGGTATGAACATCACTGAAGACAACAAAGAGATTCTCTAAAACTCAATTTTTTGAAGAACTATCTTTATCACAATGTAACAGTGCTCTGGAGATAACTCTCATTTGGCAGGGGAAGAGAAGAGAGATGGGAGAAACCCTTCTCTTTTGTCTTCCCATCCATCACCCAGCCAATTTTTACATATCATGTATCTTGTTGTAAAATGTTAAAATGCAAGTCTGCAAGAAATTTATATATAATTCCATAGTTGAGAACTAAGACATAAACTTAAGTCATGATTTACTTATTTATTAACCAATGAATACATTACTAATGAATAATAAACTTTTCAAACTTCCCTTACCTTATGTCTAAAATCAGGATAATATTAAATACCTCCCAGGTCTATGATGATCAAAAAATAACAAGTTGAATCATTTTAGTAAACATTTATTTGTAGGAGTATTGCATAATGCAAACAACAATGAAATGAATAGTTCTCATTTTTGGACAACTCAATTTTTATCAACACTTGAGAACAGCAAAAAATTAAAATTTTCCTGGTCTTCTCCATGTCATTTTCTTTTCATGCCCTTGTACTTACTTTATTATTATTATTATTATTTATTATTTATTTTTTTATTTTTTTTATTTTTTCCATTTATTTTTATTAGTTGGAGGCTAATTACTTTACAACATTGCAGTGGCTTTTGTCATACATTGAAATGAATTAGCCATGGATTTACATGTATTCCCCATCCCGGTCCCCCCTCCCACCTCCCTCTCCACCTGATCCCTCTGGGTCTTCCCAGTGCACCAGGCCCGAGCACTTGTCTCATGCACCCAATCTGGGCTGGTGATCTGTTTCACCCTAGATAATATACATGTTTCAATGCTGTTCTCTTGAACCATCCCACCCTCGCCTTCTCCCAGAGTCCACAAGTCTGATCTATACATCTGAGTCTCTTTTTCTGTTTTGCATACAGGGTTATCGTTACTTTAGAGCTGTGATTATAAGAGAAAAACAACTACTGAGAAGTAAAAACAGAAAAAAAATTCCACAAGATTGGCAGTACTGGTTTCACAAGCATGCATCAAATGCCTGGGAGAGCTTTGTAAACACAGACTGCCAGGTGCCACAGTTGAGTTCCTGATTCAGTTTGTCTGCAGTTAAGCCATGGAATTTACATTTCTAGCAAGATCCCAGGTGCTGCTGATGCTGCTGGCTCAGGGACCACACTTTGAGAAGTATCGATCTAGAGTGAACATACTTAGTCTGTTTGAGAAGCCTCCTTAGAAACTGAGTACTTAGTCTCAGCTCCTCAGAATTTCTGAATTTCCTTCCAGGGTGAACTCAAACAATCCTGTTCTCTTGGAGGACCCAGTTCTTTCTGCCATTGCCAAAAAGCACAAGCAAACCCCAGCTCTGGTTGCCCTTCGCTACCAGATACAACGTGGAGTTGTGGTTCTGGCCAAGAGTTTCAACAAGAAGCGTATCAAGGAGAACATGCAGGTGATGATGAGTGGGGCTGTGGGCAGAGGACTCCTAGGGAATATCCTTCACGAGGGTCATTCTTTGTCTATCTCTCAAGACTTTTCTTGAGTCAAGACAAGTTACCTATTCTTCTCAATGCATGAATGTGTTGTGTGGCAACAGGAGAAGTGGTATGGCTGGAGAGGGTTCAGGTTGGACAGAAAACAGATTTTTGTTTCAGCATTACATCAACCATTTATTCTATCACCTTGTGCAAATGACATCTCATTTTCTTTGTTCTCAATTGACAAAATTGCGTTCTGTGATTTTCATAGATCATTTAGGCTGCTCTAACCACATTGTGTGGCATAGAAACAATTGAACTTGGTAGTCTTGCAGTTCTAGAGGTGGAGATCCGAGATCAGGGTGCCCATGTGGTCAGGTGAGGGTCCTCCTCCAGGTCACAGGCTTCTCCTTGTATCTTAACTTGGTGGAGGGGGCATCAGACCTCTCCTAAGTCTCTTATATGAATATGATATTGTTTAAATCTCATTCATGAGGGCCCCACCATGGATGATAACCTAATTAATCACTCTTCAAGGGCCCATTTCTAACACCACCACAGTGGGGTGAGGTTTCCAACATGTAAATCTGGGGGACACACAAGTTACAGCAGTGATCTTGAACCTCTAAATTATCATGATTTTATTTTACATTCCCCTGAACAGTAATGTAGCTTCATTTTTATACATTTAATCTCCATGAGTTTTTGTTGTTGCAAATTTCCTATTCAAGGCTGTGCCCATTTTTGCCAGTTGTCTTTTGATTTGTATTTAGGAGACCATTATCGTACTCTTAGCCATAGCTGTAAGGAAACTCTCCCCAGCTTCAGGATTTAATGCAGAGATTAGTTATGCTTCTCCTGTTTCCATAGTTTGACGATCAGCCTGAACTCAGCCCAGCTGTTGTCCTCTTGGCTGGGTTCTCTCATGCATTTGCAGTTCAGTGCAGAGCAGCTTGGTAATTCTGCTTTAGCAGGTGGATGTGGCTCTTGTCACAGGAGCCTGCATGCCTTTCCATCTAGTTTTTCATATATGTTTGGCTAGACTGTGGTCAGCTAACCTAGTCTTCATCTCAGCACAGTGCTATGATCCGCAGTCAGTGAGTGGGGAAAAACCCTCTTCATGTCTGGACTCAGAACTGACTCACCACTTCTGGGAAATATAACAGTCCAACACAAATATCACTGTCCAAGGCAGGTTACAGCTCAGGTCAAGTCAAGGGGAAGGGAAATTGTCCCCTGAAAAGCTGTTTCCTTTCAAATTTGATTCTGTAATATGGCTGGAACTGATTTTCTAATAAGACATGAAAAGGGATATATATATAGTTATGTATATTTAGATGGAAAACTAAAGGTCCATATTTTTCTACAGATTTTCGTTGTCAACTCTGTAATATATCAAGTGTCCATAAGTACATTTCTGACCTCTCTTCTACTTAACTACTCAGTTTTCTGTACTTATTATAGTGGAAAATAAGTCTCGCTTTTCAGAATGGTATATTCTCCTTCCTTAAAGAGATCTTTGCTACTTTTCACTAGTTGTTCCTTGATATAAATTTAGTATCACTTTCCCAACTCTCACAAAAGAATGCATGTTTAAGTCTTAGGTTCATGGTGCATTGAAACACTAAAATGCTCTGGAGAAAACTGATTTCTTTTCAAAATTGAGATTTCCATGCTATGGTTATGAGATGAATTTCTAATTATTAGGTGTGCTTTAATATTTTAAGCACATTTCACAACTTATCTCCTTAAAGACTTTATGTAATCCTTTTTGGTTAGATTTACTCATAGATAATGAATAAGTTTGATATGAGATTATTGGGTAGGTTTTCAGAGGGAGGGATCCTCCTTACAATCCTTATTAAGTTCAAAGTTATATCATATTTAGGGGGTATTGGGAAGAAGAAAAACAGTTTAATGCATGGTGAAATGCAGGTATTTTGTCTGAATTGTCCAACTGCCCCTCTATTTTTGAAAGAAGATATGTGTTTTTTAATTTTCTGTCTCAAATAATTCACTTAGAAAGACAAGAGACTGATGCACTATAATCTGTTTAAAGTGGACAGAAAAGGAGAAGGTGTAGGAATGAGAGGTGAGAACTCAGCAGAGGGTCCCAGGCTCGTTCACCCGGAAGCTGATGACAGACATGGCTCCCCTGTCCCATCTTGTCTCCATCCAGCTGGAAATTCTCCAGTCCCCAGGGGGAGGCCAGCTCCTTGGGGAAGAGGTTAATGTGATTCTTCCTTCCTTCCAGGTGTTTGACTTTGAACTGACTCCAGAAGATATGAAAGCAATCGATGGCCTCAATCGTAATATAAGATACTATGATTTTCAACAGTAAGTGACTTGTATATGTTACACACACACTGTTTTCTCTAGCATATAGCTCAGCAGAGGAATAAGCTTTCTTAAAACTTAGTTTTAGGGAGGATGTCCTGATTTCCAGCATAGGAGTAAACCAGGGGCTTCCTGCAGACCTCAGACCAGAGGTTTCCTCCAGGGCTCCATTTATCACCAACAGAAATGTGATTGGGGCCCAGGACAACCCATAAGTAAGATCCCCAGATTTGACATTGTGGTGAATTCACAACGTTGTGCCTGTAATCCTGTGCCTGGTGTACCTCCTCTCAGGGCTGAGGGACCCAGCAGACACCGAGAGCACAGTGCCTGTAGCCCACTGTTCTTTCAGGCACCTACATGAATATTTCACCTTTAAATCATTGTAGAATCAGGAGGAAATGATAAATAAGGACTGTGTGATAAAGAATCCATCTTGGATTACGTTCATGTTTATCCTAACGTATGTGTATGGTCAGTTGTGTCTGACTCCTTGTGGCCCAGGAACTGTAGCCCTCCAGGCTCCTCTGTCCATGGGATTTCCCAGCAAGAATACTGGAGTGGGTTGCCATTTTCTTATCTGGAGATGAGATCTTCCCAACTCGGGGATCAAACCCACATTTTCAGCATCTCCTGCATTTGAAAGTGGATTCTTTAACAGTGAGCCACCCAGGAGTCCACATGTTTATCCTAACACAATTGTAAATATATTGCTGATGTTTTTTGGAGGAGGGACCCACGAAGGCCAACAAACATTATTGCTGAGTAAGCCACAGTGGGCCTGCTTGCACCCCCTCCTCCTAGTGTCTGATGGTTTTTCTCCCTAATGGCATTTCTGGTACCAAGACACCATCCATTTCATCCAAATTGATCCCTTTTCCCCCTGTTACAACACATTTCTTCATCCTTGTAATGTCACCAAATGAATTGCTAGTAGATCATGAGCTTAACTGACCCTCCAGAGAGTGACTGCTGTGTCCTTAGCAGGACACACTCTGGTAAGATCGTCTAGGTCTCTAGTTTCTTGAGTCCAGACTGAATCTAGTGCTGCCTTTGTCCAACAGGGGTCCATCCCCTGGGGAGCCCCTAACTCCTTGATTTTGACTTAGTCACAAACCTAGGATTCCAGCTGCCTAATTACTGCAGGAGAATGTCAGGACTGAAGAGAAAGAGGGCTAATCAACCAGAGAGATATCGGAGAACATTTTAGAGAGAAGCAAATACAAATTAGTGATAAAATGAATATTTAGTTTCAAATGAAAGATCTCAAAACTCTCCTTCTTGCTCTTAAAGAAGATATTTATATGTACATATGCATGTGTTTACAAGTATACCATGATTCTGAGAAAAAACATAATGATAAATGAAAGTTACTTTTCTGTTCTCAAAAACTTTTAAGTGTGTTCTGTGTTCTCCTTTATTATGATGTGAGTGCCTAGACTTACTCATCCTTGTGGGTTTATGTCAACAGCACAACTTTTGGCACATGGAATTGCTCTGAATGCTCTTTAATGAATTGAATTGAAAAGGACCATGTTAGAAAGATAAATCAGGCCATAAGTAAAGATAACAGCAGTAAGACTAATGAATAAATAATGTGTTGTCATATAAAATAAGAAAATAGTAATCACAATTTATAGACATGATTATTTAGATGTATGTGGTATTTCTTCAGTTTAATAGTAATTCCTCAGTGGAGGCATCCTGTATTTTGGGTATGCTCAACATTTTTTCATTGAATGTTTACATGAAAAAGAGCAAGGTATTCCTTAACTGTGATTATTCTCATCACTTAGGGTTGAAGGTTCCACCTGTGTCTGAAATGACCTCCACAGTCAGCCCTAGGTCTTGTGCTCCCATATAAATTGTATGCAATTATATATCATATAAGTCACCATGGAGTACTTATTACACGTGAATGTTGGGACTGGACATGCAGGTGCAGTGTGCATATGAAGCAGACACCTGATGTGTGCTTGTTGGGGGAGAAGGAGGGAATGTTTTGTAGATTTTGAGTTTGAGCCCATTCTGACTGCATCAACAGAGTAATGCACTCTATGACAACAAGACAGATTTAATAAATCAATTCTCCTCCTCTTTCAGGGGTATTGATCACCCTGAGTATCCATTTTCTGAAGAATATTGACTGTGAGGTGTCCATCATGCCTTCTACCTGAACGTCTTGCTTCTAGGGCTGTGAAGAGCATTTCTATACTTGGTGGAGGTGTTTAAGTGTCTGAACTTTTGAAAGCTTGTTTTTCTTTAAAAATCTTTTATGAACTAATCAAGATTTCAAATATGGGTACTAGTTTTTCCTGATAACAAAATAATTTGAAAAATAAAGGGGAAAAGACAGAAAATAAAGATAACCCGATTAACCCATTTAATAGATTTGGTGCATTTTACTTTGTTGAAAATGAATCAATCTAAGAAAGAAATAGAACATTGTATTTGAGCCAAATTTGAGAACTATAACCCAGAAAACTCTGATAGCTGTTCTGTCTTCTAAAAGTCAAGGCACAGGGAAGAAAGTTTGGGAGACAGAGGGCTCTACATGAAAATACATACTATTGACAGTGTATATAATACACATCTAAGTGTCATCATGTTGAGTCATGTGACCCCTTATAAGATCAAGAAGAAATTTATCTTTTAAGGAGCTATCTTATTGATGCTGGGAGAAATGTGACTCTCTATGGTTGAGCATGTCCTCACATTGATGGAAGAGGTCCAGGATACGTATAATGCAGACCCACAACCCACAGTGAGGAGAGAGGGATGCAAAGGATACAGAAGAATTTTTCATATTTAAATTTCTGCCATAAAATATCAATTTTATTTCATACCTTCATGACTCCCCTATACAAACGTGTGTTTCTGTTTATAATTTGAAATTATCTTCAATATGCAGGTTGCATACTTATGTTTTACTTAGCATAAGTTTTTTGTAAGCTATCAAGTGTTATCTAATGGTTGCCAAGGATCAAGGGGTTGGGAGAGGGTTGGATTGGGAGGCTGGATTTAGCAGGTGCAAGCTATTGTATATGGAAAGGATTAACAAGAAAGTCCTACTGTATAGCACAGGGAACAATATTTATCTATGGTAAACCATAATGGAAAAGAATATGAAAAAGAATGTATATATGTGTATAACTGAGTCACTTTTGGGTACATCAGCAATTGAAACAACATTGTCATTCAACTATACTTCAATAGAAAATAAAATAAAAAGTTACAGTATTATATTTAGCTTTTTATAATGCTTCTCAGGTGGCTCAGTGGTAAAGAATCCACCTGTCAGTGAAGGAGACACAGGTTTGATCTCTGGATAGGGAAGGGAAGAGTCCCTGAAGAAGGAAATGGCAATTCAGTACAGTATTTTTGCCTGGGAAATCCCAGGGACAGAAGATCATGACGGGCTACAGTCCGTGGGGTGGCAAAAAGTTGAACAGGATTTGATGACTGAGTATGCACACACATTATAAATCTTTTCAATTTATTTAATTTTTAAAAACTGTTCTTTAATTAAAACATTTTTATTGAGATATAGTCAGTTTACAATGTTGTGTTAATTTCTGCTGTACAGCAAAATGATTCAGATGTGTATATATATATATACATTCTTTTTTATGCTAAACACTTTGATTAGTTATTATATGTTTAGCCATTCATTCATTGATTTATTCAGCACAAGTTTATTGAATATTTTTAGTAAGACTTTTATCAATAAAATGGACGACAAATTAAAATGAATTCTTGAGTCGATAGTCTAGAGGAGGGTGAGACTATGAATGAAATCAGGAGTATTTAGCTGTTAGAAATTAGTAAGTGCCTGTTGAGATAATTCTACTCACTCTGTCACTTTTCTGTACATCTATCAGGAAGAGGCACTAACAACCTTTCATCCTACACAACTTTTCATCTGTACAACAAATAGCCTTACCCTGCAGAGACATATAGGGCGTGTTTGCTACCATGTAATGTAAAGAAAACACCTCCCTCCTGAGAAAAAGAGGAATGCTGAGTGCCTACAGTCATTGATCCAGGACCCATAGACTCAAGGTTTTTCTCCTGTCACTCAACTCACTGAGTATTCAAGTATCACCTGAGATGTTCACTTCAACATTAGAAATGGGGACCCAGGAACTAGCACAACACACCATATATATGCACACCTAATTATCACATTATAAAACCTCAGTTCAGTTCAGTCACTCAGTCGTGTCCAACTCTTTGCAACCTCATGGACTGCAGCATGCCAGGCTTCCCTGTCCATCACCAACTCCCAGAGCCTGCTCAAACTTACATCCGTCGAGTCGGTGATGCCATCCAACCATCTCATCCTCTGTCATCCTCCTCTCTTCCTGCCTTCAATCTTTCCCAGCATCAGTGTCTTTTCCAAGGAGTCAGTTCTTTGCATCAGGTGGCCAAAGTTTGGAACTTCACCTTCAGCGTCAGTCCTTCCAATGAATGTTCAGGACTGATTTCCTTTAGGATTGACTAGTCTCATCTCCTGGCAGTTCAAGGGGCTCTCAAGAGTCTTCTCCAACACTGGAGTTCAAAAGCCATCAGTCCTTCGGCTCTCAGCCTTCTTTATGGTCCAACTCTCACATCCATACATGACTACTGGAAAAACCATAGCTTTGACTAGACGGACCTTTGTTGGCTTTGACTAGATGGACCTTTGTTAGGGGTTGTAAACCCTAAGCCTATACAATGTTATATATCAATTATGTCTCAACAAAGCTGGAAAATGACACTCCTATTTTGGCTACAGCATTTGTTGTGGGTCCATTTGTTGTAGGTGATAAAGTGTCCATCTTCTATAAGCATCCCTGAAACCAAGGCAAGGTGATTTGTAGACTTGCAGGTCAGTTTAAAATCTTAGATTCTTCATAACTCTTCACTGTGAAAGGAAGAAAAGAAAGCAGGGAGGAGAACAGGCCTTGCTGGGAGTTGAGGGGTTGGGCACTATTATAAGATGGTTAGAAAAGATTTCACTGAGCAAACATGAAGGCAAACAGTGAGCTTTGTGGACTAGTAGGACAAAGAACAGAAAACCTAAGACCAGAAAGAGTCTCCTGTCACACTTAAGAGACAGCAAGTCAGCTGCCTCTGGAGGTAATGCATTCCTGTTATGGAGGTAATGCATTTCTGTGGGGACTCGGCCAATTTTGAGATAAATGTTCTTGACTTGGGCTTTCTTTCATGCTCTGCTTCGGAGCTCAAACAGCTGTCAAAGTTATCAATTTTCCGTTGACAATCCCCCTGCACTTTGCACCTAGCCAGGTGTTTCAGAACCTGAGGAAATTGCTGAGTCATCTTTGAGACCATTTCTGTAATGTACTCTAAGGATTTGATGATGGTACTGAGTGATATGAGTAATAAGTGAAGCAAAAGGGCATCGGCTTGCTTCTTCACTCATCCTGAGGTCACATTTGAGATAGCTTTTATTCTTCAGTCTGGACCCACTCCATGACACATTAGTGAGGGAAGTGGATTTTACTAAAAATTCCAGGGTTACTCATTTCATCAAGCATTGTAATTAAACCATCATAAATATTTTGGTTCTTTTCCCCCAAATTCCTCCCAGGACTACAGGGTCTGCTCTCCTTTCTACTCCTCCCTCACTTTCCCATCCCTTGTCCCTTGCAGCTCCCAGCTTCTCCCTCACCTTCCAAAGCAATGCCATTCTGCCCATTGGCCAGCACTTCCCCACTCACAAGCTTCTGTCAAGTTCAAGTGTAATCTAGTTTTGTTCGTACAGGACATGAAATACCCCACTCACACCACAAATGCCTCATTAAACAAGAGACTACTTTCTAGAGACAAATACCACTGGCTCTATCATTTTATTTTTCTAAAAAACATGGCAGTATGCTGTTTGATGAGCAGATATTTGCTTTTCTCTCTATACGGGCAAGTCTCTTCTAGGGGTTGAGTGAGGACAAATAAAAGTCTAGGGTGTATGTTCTTCTGGTCAGAAGTTTCCATCTGGAGGGGGTCTACTTCCTGTAAAAACAATTTAGGAATGTGTGTCAGGCCTTTGTCTGTATCTATCAGGAAACTGTGAGTTCCCTGAATCTGTAGTGTGAGAGAATTATAGTCTAAATTGTTACCAGTTCCCTAGTCCTACAGTTATTCTTGGTTTCTACATCTTCACATTTCCCAATCATTAACTCTTGAGGCAGCATTTTACTTCAAAGGACAAGGAAACAGAAGCTCGAACATGGTTTCAGAGCTAGTCCTGGATGATCAGGGCAATCCCTAATCTTGGTTCTTTATCTAGAATACAGTATACTCTTCAGCTACCTTTTCTGAGAAAGATCAATTTCAAAACAGCCCAAATAAAATCAATTCCAAGAAAAACAAAGAACTCTATTTTCTTCTTACTCATCTGAATTTGTAGGTGGAAATCATGAACACTACAGTGAGAAGTAACTTTTTCTAGTTACCAGATCGAAAACAATAGATGTACTTGCTTCAAGACATGAAGACTTTGTTCTCATTGAAGATGGATTGGATGAATACCCAGTACATGTACATGTTACCTGAGAACAGCTCCTTGAACGCTTGTTTGAGAATTTGAGCATTTCTTATACATTATTATCAATTCCTTCTATAATAATGATGTTTATTGATGTAACGCTTTATTCCTGTTGTGATCTGATCACACTTATTCTGTGACTGTGACTGGTCTTCAAGTTCACTCAAACTCTGATATCTGGTAAGTGTAAGAATACAAAGATGAAGACTAACAGGTCGTGGTTCTGAAATGTGGAGGGGAGGAAACAGAAGCAGGAACCGGGGGTTGTGATCAAAGCACCTGGGCCACTGTCATCTGGAGCTTACCATCATCCTGTCCACACAGTTACTTTAGTTTGGGATGCGCTGTGTAGAAAACTGAAGTCAAAGAGAAACAGAAGAGAAACAGGTGACCACTAGAGGGTGGGGAGAGAAATCATCAGAGTGCTTGGTGGGATGTTTGTGGAACAATGTGTTTCCATACCTGAGTGTCAAATCTTCACATAGAGGCTGTGACAATTTCTACCATGTCCAAGTCTGCCAATTGGGAGACAGTAGAACTAGTTCAAGGTTTAAAGCCAAGTGCTCTTAGAAAATGCTTTTAATTCAGTAGGGAAGAGAAATGGTAGTCAAGACAAGTGAAGAAATATAAAATCTTTATATTTTTCTTCAAGAGGCTGGGATATAAAAATTGATTATGGAAATATTAAGCATTAAAGAGTAAAGGTCACCAAGTAAAGTTTGTAGCAGTTGAGCAAAGGTGATCTGAGATAAAGTTTTAGAGTGTGTTTCCAGAAGGTCCATTCTATTGAGCTTTATCATAAACATGATTTGAAAAGGTATTTCCCTCCCCCCACCCCCC